GGTGTTCGGAAGTTTTACATTTTGTGTGTATAATTTTTTTTACAGTTTTTAGCAGTTAACAAACATCGAAACCTGCAGGTGTAATGTTGGAAAGCCCCTGGGGATTTAAACTTGTCTTGCTAGAATGTTGGAAAACCTGATTTAGTGGGATTACCCGTAAGTCGTAGTATACAGTATAATATTGTACGGTATGCATAGAAACAGGAAGTCTATATTGCATTTAAGATGTAATCAATCGTTAGCTGTGTTGTTTCCCTGAAATGATGCAGACAGAAATGTTACAAAAATCCTTGTTTAGTCTTTATTTGAATGAGTTTAATATTTACTTAACATTAACTCCTTCCTAAATCTCCCAAACATTTTCTTGCTTGATCTATCTCACTTTCAAAAAGGACATGCCTCTGCACAACATCTGATGTCTTGTTACCCCTTCGTCTTCACTCTTTTGCAGGAGAAAGCAAAGACTCAATCATAAAAGGTCAATATTATGAAAAGTAATGTCATTCAAAACAATAGCTTTGCTGTCTATTGACCGTACGTGGAGACTTTTTAAATGAGAATAAGAAAGAAAAGTATTTCTTTGTGCCCCTCTTTCCCTGTTAATGCCCTACCTGGTCCCCTGGCAAAGCTTTGCTAGAGCCGCCCCTGCATAGTTACCAGCTTTCAGCTATGTAGAAAAGGATCCTGGTGTTATTTGTCTCTCAGAAACAGTTCATAACTTCCCTTCAACTCATTCATGTCACCTCAAAGGTAAACCTGTTTTCCCATCACCTGTTCAGCTCTGATCATTCAGTAAGGACATCTCCTGGTTTCATCTTCATGTTTCCCTCTCATCACATATCCAAATCAATATCATGACCAGCAGCTTTTACAGCTGTGGCTCCAGAAAACATCAGCTGATACTAGAAAGTAATATTAAATAAGTTCTAACAACAGCTGACCAAGCTTAAACGTGCTGCAGTTGTTTAGCAAGGCATCTGCTGGTTTCCTGTTTCTTGCGCAAAGTGGGAGATAAACAAAACAAGAGAGACAGGACTTGCGACAGAAAAGCCGATCAGCTGATCATTGATCAGTTTCATGATTGAAGTAGCAACAGAAGAGGGAGGGGGAGAGAATGAGAGAAGAAGAGGCAGCTGTGCAGCGTAAAGACACAGAATAACTCCAGCTTTGTGTCTTTTTCCATTCTAGCTGAAGCACGGGACAAACTGTTCCTTTTCACCTCAATACAAAATGCGTAATAACTTCTCTGAATACGGGACGATTCCGTTTTTTACGGACAGTTGGCAACTCTACTAACTAACTTTATGAATAAAGTTCAACATCAGTAACACCATAGCACCCACCCAGCTGTAGAAACTCCATCATGCTAGCTAGTACGCAGTACGAGTTATTGTAACTGACTGTAAAAAGTCAGCATAACGAAAATAAACTACCTCTAAACTTGGTTTATATCTGACCCAGATAGACTGCAGGTCATAACTTCTTACCTGAAGTTCAGTTCACCTGACACTCGGACAGGTGGCCGCCTCGGGTCTCTCCTCCTCCTGCCTCCCCTTTCTCTCATCCATTTGCTGGCCTCTGTGGAAGCTCCGCCACAACCACCACCAAACAACTGAGTTATTTTTACACATTGGCCAGCATCTGGCCAATCCACCACCTTTCATTGTTTATACCGTTACCAAAAAAAACCATCGGCCCATAAAAACGAAAAATCACCATCAGCCCATATACGGTCGGCACAAGGTAAATTTCTTTTGCAGTTCGTCTGAAAGATGGACTTGCGCTTTGGGATCTTTAAACATCATTAGGCGCGTTGCTGCCCGCTGCCTGTCCTGTCTGTGAGTGCAGAACAAGCGCTCACAAAGCAGCAGTTTGGGGATGACGTCACACACATGGGTCCTCTGTCAGAATATAGGTCTTTGGAGCGTGATGTCACGGGGGTGGGCGTGGAAAGGATTTTGGCCTGATGCGCCATTTTCTGGGTCCAACCAAAGTGCAAGCGAAAAAGGAGCGAAGGCACACACAACAGCCATGGTTCGTTCTTGCTGTGCGGTCCGCTGCAATGTTCGATCGCACGACCAGCAAGAGAATAAGCTTAAAAAGGGTTTGTCTTTTCATTCTTTCATTCTTTCCCCATCATACAGGTGCAGTGGGCGGCTTCAACCTTTCCTGTGATGCTCACAGTGACCCATGGCTGCAATGCTGGGCTGGTTCATTCAGTCTTTGAGAGTGCAGTACCTGAAACACACACAGACAAGCATAAAGGGACAATTATGAATCACTTAAGGAGATTCTGCAATGTATACAATTTAAATAAAATGTATTTTTAGTGACACAGGATACAAACGTGGAAGCAAGATGTATAATTAGAATTATTTATAATAAATATGAATAAATTTCTTTAACCATAGAGAATGACTAAATCCTTCAGGACAATGTCACATCAATGCACTGAACTCACTATGTTATCCCTCTTACAGAGCCTCCACATGTTCTCACTGTAATTTCCCCCTCATGAATGAATTTATGCTGCACTAATTTGAATGTTCGGAGGGAAATCAAACGCATTTTACTCGCAGTACTTGAGCTGACTTACCTTTGTTTGATTGACGACTTGTATGCGCTGACTCCACAGACAAGGTACGAAAATACAGGGTGGGCCATTTATATGGATACACTGTAATAACATGGGAATGGTTGGTGATATTAAAGTCCTGTTTGTGGCACATTAGTATATGTGAGGGGGCAAACTCCTCAAGATGGGTGGTGACCGTGGTGGCCATTTAGAAGTCGGCCATCTTGGATACAACTTTTGTTTTTTCAATAGGAAGAGGGCCATGTGACACATCAAACGTATTGGTAATGTCACAAGAAAAACAATGGTGTGCTTGGTTTCAACATAACTTTATTCTTACGGTGTATCCACCCTGTATATCAGGCTACGTCAATAGCGGTTGGTCTTCAGGGTTTCTACTCTACGGCCGTATTTCATACAGGTCCACATTTCCAATGCACGCAATTTTCTGCAAGTGCCGCCGCTTCGCCTCTGGACACAATCGGCCTCTATACCGTCCGTTTTCTTTTCAGCTGCTTTTAAGCATGTTTCTTGTTGTCGTCGTTCCAACACAGTGTGTTTGTTTTGATTTGTGGACCCGGAAAATGGCGCCGCGCTCCCACAACACATTGCGGCGTGATGTCAACTCCAAAGCCCTATAGGAAAACCTGGACATTTTTATCAATCTCGAAAATCCCCCCAGATGCCCCAGACAGACCGTGAAAAGAAGACATGTCTGGGGAAAAGAAGACGGTTGGTCGCCCTAGTTATTATCCTTTTCTGCATTGCATTTTGTTTTCTCTGCCTAGTCTGTGCAGTTTTTATAATTACTCTGCCGGAACAGTCAGAAATGTTCTTTTGTTTTTCTTTTTGCCTTTGCCAGTAACTGGGATTACAGTGCAATGCAGTCAAACTTGCTCTTAGTGTTAACACACCCAAAGTACCGACAACACATTCTAGAAAAATACCAAGACTAAATATTCCAGTAGAAATACTGTCAACATCCTGCTTCTAAGGTGTAAACTTGGCAATCAAAACTAGGACTGCAGTAAAAATCTTATCCAGCAGTTCTTATGCCTTTAAAAACCACATATTGTACATCTCAAGGAAAGACACTCAATTAACTAAAGAATACAAAATAGGGTTAACTGAGTATACATAATACACATGAAAGAGACAAACACTAAGATACAGACAAAAGTTACCAGATAATTAATTGTTAGTGTATAGAGAACTAAAAGCAGTTCAGCCAGCTAAGTACAAATGTGCAGTGAAAGCCAGGCATCAGAACAACTGATATGACTCCGCACCAGACCAGCATAAAATGTATGCAAATAGGAAGGTTCCAAATGAAAACCTTATGAGAGACTTACTCAAATAAAAGGCAGTGATGAGTACTAAAATAATGGCCAATAATAAAGGGCAGAGGGCAGAATGGTAGACAAGATCCAAATGTTTACATATGGAGGCTTTACACTTTTATTTTAATTTATTTCACACACCTGAAATACACAGACCTAGGAGGCTTATGATGGATTCATAATTTATTTAGTTTTAAGATTTCAGATGAATCCGTGTGATCACACTTTCTGAATTTCAACTTTTTGTGTATGACTGATAAAACAAGGTCCAAGTGTGTATTAAGCTTCATTGTAAATGTAATCAAAATATCTCAAAATATAGACTTAAAATGTTCACTGTTACACATCTCTGAATTCAGACACCACAAAATACAACGGCAGTGCATTATTCCTAAGCTGTAACAAAAACAATAAACAGATGAAAAAAAGAAATTCACACTGTTAAGCAACCAGTTATATTTGCAAATACTTGTGTTTGTACCAATGATTGCTGAAAAGTTCTTTTCTACAATCATTGGTTTATACAGTGAATAATAATTTGGTTTATTGTAGATATTGGAAATTGCATATTGTTTGTAAGCTCAAAGAATGAAAGAAAGTAGTCTTTTTGACAGTTTTTTTTTATTTTAACACAAATTTTATAAGTAAGATAGAAAAATAAAAGATAAAAGCTACTAAGTGTCATTGCTCAGAGAGAATACTAAAAGCACTAGTTTCACTGATCAGACTTTTTCTGAAAGTGACTTTAGGTTTTGCTGATATTTTATGTAAATGACACAGATTGAACTTTTTTTTAAAAATTTGACAGGTTGTTTAACCATAGTTTGTTTAAAGACAACTCAAACCCAGAGCAGTGTTTATTGCAAGTACTAATGATACAATTTAATCAGTAGTCCTTGCAGCACTACTCATGACAAGATTTTGAAATGTATGAAAGTGTGAAACTGAAAGAATGGACTTGGCATTGTCATTGCACCTTAAGACTTTCAACATTCTCTTTGCTTAGAAAATGATGAACAAAACAAGTCCAGCTAGTTATGTCACACTTTGAAAAAGCAAGAATTTCTTGCTTCACTTACAAATAACCGAAGGCACAAGTCTTCAGTTACTTATTTGGACTCCAGCTGGTAAGGAGTCAGTTGCCTAGTTAGCCTACCATTCAGGGTGCGGTTAATACTGACTAAAAGAATACTGCTGCACAGTTAGACTCCCAAGAGGTAAGAGAAATTTTTTTATTTTTTATTTTTTAAATTCCGATATTAACACAAGTAAATATTTAAAATTATAATTAATAAGGAATTAATTTACACCACCAACATCTAATTTCTTGTCAAGGTGTCATCATTCTGCACTGACAACTCTGTATAACAAATACGAGAAAATGTTTTTGTACTTTTGCGTGTGTTTAATCCTTGTTTGAACAAAAACATATTTAACAAACACACATTTATATTTATTAAAGACTTAAATGATCATAATATGATCAAACCAATAATATACAAAACCTTTAGACATTGCATGATATTATTATTAATAAATCAGATTAAGTCATTTTTTATGTTCTAGAGTAGCAGACAGTGTCTTAATAATAAAGTACGTGGTCAAAGGAGCTTGCAAAGAAAAGCGTCTGGACTTCTTTAAGTTGCTTGAAGACGTTTCACCTCTCATCCGAGAAGCTTCTTCAGTTCTAAGGTCAAATGGTGGAGAGTCCCAGAAGGATGCCAATGTTCACATTTTGGACAGAGAGGACAGATGGTTTGAAAGAGGAGTGAAAGAAGCCATCAGTCCACTGTGAGCGACCATCTTTGAACAGAGGCGGGGGTTTACGACACCAACTCTCTGCCATCTATAATCCAGTTTTGAGATCCCTTCCAAGACGCCTTAATGCCCACTCACATCCTGGGCCATCTGACCTCAGGAATTCGCATGATAAGGTGGGGCCAGGTTTCACAATGAGCTCACCCAAAACTCTGGCTGATTGGGACCCACACCCAGTTTCACACCTTGGCTCAGGCGATTAGAGGATCATCAGGGGGTCCTTTTGTCCCTCTGTAGGGGGTCACTCCCACTAGGTTTATATCTGGGACTCTCCACCATTTGACCTTAGAACTGAAGAAGCTTCTTGGATGAGAGGTGAAACGTCTTCAAGCAACTTAAAGAAGTCCAGACGCTTTTCTTTGCAAGCTCCTTTGACTACGATGACCTGGATGACTGAGAACCTTCACAGACAATAAAGTACGTGAGAGAAGGCTTTTATTATATATGTATGTTTATTATTCATGATGTCACTAACACTGTGTTGAGTGTAAAAGCTGTAACATAGGGCTGAGACCAGACTTCTTACTGGTTATAAATATATTTTTCATATGACAGTCATTTGAATTAGATTCAGAAAGAATAAAAATTTTTTTTATCACTAACTAAAATGCTGCTGCACAGTCAATTCTGATACGCAAATACATGTTAAAAATACAATGAATGCATAATTAGTTTACACCAAAAAGGTCAAAGTTTTGTATGTTCTAATTGATTTTATAAGCTTTGAGAAGTCTATTAATAAGCCGTAGATTCATACATTCTTAATTAAATTGGGAGTTTTCATCATCACATTTCTAAATTTGGATTACTGTTTTCTGAAAGTTTCTCACAATGTTAGTTTTTCCTGTTCACATTCAGGTATTTTTCTCAAATTAATCAAATGCATTTTTGAATGCCATTGTTCATTTCACATTAGACTGTTAAATAACAAGAAAATGCCTGCCAACAATGAATTGGTTCACTTTTAAAGCCAAAAAAGTTGTATGCTGAATGTGTAATTGAGTGGTTCTTTGTATTTTGAATAATAGATTGCCCTGCTTAGCTTGTCAAGGTGTGGCCACTCTGCACTGACAGCTGAATGTACAGTGAATATGAAAAAAAGGTCCTTGTACCTTTGCTCTTTGGAATTTCAAAGAATTCCAAGTAAAGAAAAAAGCTCAACTTAACAAATACATACTGATATTTATTAAATACTTAAATGGCTTCTAATTGCAAACAGTCTGATAGAATAGAAAGATGGAATAATATGATTATAAATTCATGATATATATAGTTTTAATGTCAGAAAATGACAAATAGTAAGAATTTTGATCACAGAACACACGAGAGAAGATTCATATTTTGTTATTATTTATTCAATTTCATTATACATGCTGTCACACCATATGCCTGAGACCACAGTTCTTAATTTGATTATTTCTTAGTAATATATAAGTATAAACATTTCAGATGAAAAGAAAAAGTATTTCTCAAACATGTCCTCTGTAATTTTAGTTTATTCATATTGTGGCAGTTTTGTAACTCTTTTCCACACCTGTTATAAGTGAATGAAAACTACTGCCAAACTGAGACATAGAATAGAAAACTGAACCAGAGTCAACAAGTAAAAAGTCATTTTGTTTTGTTCATACATTTTTGTAAGTGCAAATTTTACTTCTTTGGGAAAATTTAAACAACACAAAACAAACAAACAAACAAAAAACTACAAATATATTTATGGAGGGTTGTGTTTTACAGGAACCAGGCAGAGGGAGGATGGAACCTCTTACATTCCTCCTCCTATTAGCAGGTATTTCTTGGGTTGTATCTTTCTGTCATTTCACTCTCTTGATATTTGTGGTTTCATGTGTTTGCACGTATGTGTGTGTGTGAGAGATTGAAAGACAGTGCAAATAGAGCGATGATGCTAATAGCAATTTATATTTAAAATATATGAAAGTATAGACTGAATTTGTATAATTTTGCTTTTTGCCTAAATTCAGATGAGAATAATAATCCAATTAATATTCTACAGGACTAGTGGGAGCAGCATCTACTGACAATTCAACAGCAGGTAACAAAAACAGAAGCTGAAGGAGCCTAGAGCTGAATGGGCTAAAAGATTTCCCCACCCCTCACTCCCATTCCTCTGTTCGACATCCCTCCACCCCCCACCACAATTTGACGTAACTAAAGAAACTTTAGTGTAATGAAACTAATGTACATGCTTTTAAGACAGTGTTCTTTTTAATGCACAACTATGTCAGCATTTTACTGTATTCAATGAGTAAAATACTGAACAGCTGAGGTGGAAGAACATGTGGGCATGGGGGGCTCCCATTCTATTAACCCAAACCCACTAACACTTCTATTTTCAGTTAGCACAAGCCCATCAGACATCAACATAACATCAGTACCGAGCAATGCAACCTCAAACAAAATCCTACCACCACTAAACTCATCTTTACAATCATCAAACACCACAAGCTCATCTACAGTTAATCATGCTTTTACTGCCTTATAACTTCTTTTTCATTTAACCTCACCACCAATCAACCCAGTCTCAATGGGAAATGCAACCTCACCAATGCCTTTTCTTTTTACAATAATTACCTTTTATTTAACACAGTCGCATCTCTGGTAAACATTACATCAGTACCAAGCAGTGCAACCTCACCACCAGAAGGTACAACTCCACCAACAGTTTTTGGAACCTCAGCACCAATAAACTCAAACATAACCTCATTACAACCCACCGCAACATCATCTTCAGATAATCTAATACAAATCGTGCACATTCAATATATGAATGACAGTTAATTTATTATGTTCCATAATCCACTAAAAACATTTTAAGTAGTGGACTTTAGAACAAAATGAAAATGAAAATGAACTGCAGTATATATTCCTTTGTCTAAAATGCTTTTATTCGTGTCTAAATTATGCCTCTGTATTCAGTGTCATTATTTTATTTTAAGCAAAGATCATGATGAGCAGATATTGTAAACACAGGAGTAATAAAAGTTGCTGTCCCTCAACAGAAAACATCACATCAGCACCACCCTTACCATCGTCTCTCAATGCAACCTCACCTCAAGTCAACATGACCACAATACCACTTAACTCAACCTCAGCAGGTAATGTGACATCAGCACCCCCTGCAGCAACAATACCAGTCAGCATGACCTCAACACATCTAAACGCAACCTTACCAGGTAACATCAACTCAGCATTACCTTCACAAACAACACCAGGCAGCATGACCTCGCCGTCACTCAATGCTACATCACCAGAAAACGTGACATCAGCACCACCCTTACCATCGTCTCGCAATGCAACCTCACCTCAAGTCAACATGACCACAATACCACTTAACCCAGCCTCACCAGGTAATGTGACATCAGCACCTCCTGCAGCAACAACACCAGTCAGCATGACCTCAACACATCTAAATGCAACCTTACCAGGTAACATCACCTCAACATCATCCTCACCAATAACACCAGGCGTCAGGACCTCGCCGCCACTCAATGCAACTTCACCAAAAAACGTGACATCAGCACCACCGTTACCATCGTCTCTCAATGCAACCTCACCTCAAGGCAACATGACCACAATTCCACATACTTCTCCGGGTATAGTGACATCAGCACCACCCTTACCATCGTTTCTCAATGCAACCTCACCACAAGGCAACATGACCACAATTCCACATGCTTCACCGGGTATAGTGACATCAGCACCACCCTTACCATCATTTCTCAATGCAACCTCACCACAAGGCAACATGACCACAATTCCACATACTTCACCGGGTATAGTGACATCAGCACCACCCACAAAACTAGTCAGCATGACCTCAGTGCATCTAAATGCAACCCTACCAGGTAACATCACCTCAGCACCACCAGCACCACTCTCACCAACAACACCAGTCAGCATTACTTTATCACCACTCAACACAATTTAACAACAGATCAACTGTCCTCAATACCACTTAACCCAGTCTCGTCAAGATGACCTCTATGCGACTTAGCACTACCTCAATAACAATAAACACAACCTTGCCTGTGAACATGTTGTCAACAACATTAAACCATAGAACAAGTTGATATGACCTTATCATTACTTTACCCATCCACAGAACCAGTCAACATGACCGCAGCGTCACGCAGTACACCCAACATGACCTCACCAACAGTCAAGCCATTATCTCCAGACCTAACTTCGCAAGGAACATCCATACTTTCAAATGTCACCTTTTTTAGCACTACAACTAAAGCTACAGCTCCAACCACAACTACAACTGCCGCGCCAGCACAAGCACCTAAAATCAATTTAGGATTTAAGCTGCAGCAAAACTTTTCACCAGAACTTGCAATCAAAAGCTCACCAGCCTTTAAACAGTTAGAATCAAAAGTGACTGAACAGGTGAGTTCTTGGAATTTTTTTAACCTTCCCAAAAAGTCTACTTATCTAAACGTCTTTGTTCTTTTGATCTGAATGTACTTAAACAATAGATATATAAAAATATGAATAAATACAATTCTAGCTGGTTACTCCAAATAACTAAGAATTTTATGATGAGCAAGGGAACGTATACATGAAACATAAAATGTATGAAATCTTTGTGATATGACTTATATGAACTTGATTTTAAAATATTTGAAATTTCATTTTTTATGATATGTATTTATATATCTTTCAAAACAATTTATTCCTAGCTCAACAACGTCTATAGTAAAAGATTTGGATCTAGCTTTAATCGAACTGTCATCAATAGTTTCAGGTAAGAAACACAGCTTAAGATTACTTTCTAAGACTAAACATTTATTAGCTACTAACCATTTAATGATCAAGGAACTGACCTCACAGACCATTGTGAGGTAAGTTGACTAGTTTTAGTTGTTGTGCAAAGGTACTGTTTATATGGCTACAGAAACCTACAATCAACTGAGACTGAAGAATTCACTTGGAACAGTGACAAAACATTTCTCCCACTGAAAACTTATGTCCAGATGAAAAGATTCAACTTTTTTACTATACTGGATGATTGAGCATGCATCCAGACAACTAACCATTTACTTTTTATTTTTAACAGTAGATTTAATAAGTTCATTCTTGCCTTCTTGATGTAAGGCTAATCAGTGATAAAGAATTGACAAATAAAATGAAAGCATAGAAAATCACTACATTTTTCCTTTACAGTCAAGGATCCATTGTGGTTGATGCTGAGCTGATATTCAATAATGTCAGCACATTACCAAATATCAGCTCTGCAGTTGCAACTTTGACAGAAGCTGTTGCAAGCTCAACTTTTAACCTCTCAGTTAACACGTCATCTATTTCAGCAAAAGGTCGGTCCTCATGTAATTTGTTGTTTCATCCTTCCTGATCATTTATTGTCATAAATTGTGATTTTGGATGTTGATCTCAAATATATGATAATAAGGAAATAGTCACAAGACTGTGCAATGACTTATTTAATATTGTGATTTCCAGCTGTGACAATAGCACCAACAGAACAAATCACAACATCATCTTCAACAATGAATCCAAGTACCACACCAGGTATTACCATGAAATAACTATGAATTTTTACATGTGATTATCACAAGCATGTAACACCATCATACAGCCTCACTCTTATAACCATTTTATCCAGCCTCACCACCACTCAACACGAGCTCTGTGCTAACAACATTTAATGTGATATTGATTCCACTGAACTCAACTAGAGATGGCACGATACCACTTTTTTATGTCCAATACAATACCGATATCATAAATTTGGATACCTGCTGATACCGATAGGAATCCGATATAGTTTATTTTTAATCAATAAAACAGTTTTTTTAATATCTTGCTGCATTTTGTATAGGTTCATACTCACGTTTTAAAAACAAAACACTAAAGCTATTCTGTTATACCTGTATGTAAAAAACACACTGCACACAAAATATTTCATAGTTCAGCAATACTGAGCTAATAAACTTAAACCTACACCATCCTCCCTATTCTGGTATTTTAAAGAGTACTTAGCAGAAATATTAAACAACCTAACTAATAGGGTTGCAAACTCCCAGCAAAAAAAAAATAAAGATAGGGAACTACCCCCCACCCTCTGCCTCGTGATGCTTAATCAACGTAATCAACCTTAATTTAATGCACGTGTAAAAAAAAATTGCACAGAAATCAATTATTTTTCTACAATAATTAAATAGATTCAGCATCTTTCTTCAACAGAATTGCAGACTGCACAGATGGAAAAGGTACTATAGCTTACTAGGGTATATATTAGACTTAATAGTTACTATATACAGTAATGGACTTCTATACATTTTACCTCTGATTAAAACTTTGGTTGTAAGATTCAGATAATTGTTTATTAAAAGCTAGACATTTTAAATGAGAATAAAAAAGAAACATATTCTTTGGGCCCCCCTTTTCCCTGTTAATGCCCTACCTGCCCCCCTGGCAAAACCTTGCTAGACCCGCCCCTGCACAGTTACCAGCCGTCAGCTAGAAAAGGATCCTGGTGTAGAAAGTAATCTTAAATAAATTCTAAGAACAGCTTATCAAGCTTAAACGTGCTGCTGTTGTTCAGCCGCTGGTTTCCTCTTTCTGGTGCAAAGTGGGCGATAAACAAACAAGAGAAACAGGGCTCGCAACAGAAAAGCCGATCAGCTGATCATTGATCAGTTTCATGATTGAAGTAGTAACAGGAGAGGGAGGGAGAGAGAAGAGGCAGTCGCTCCATACATCGGTTGTTAAGCTTAATGTGGGAATGCTTTACAAACATCCAGAGATGAACTTACATACTTGCTTTACTTCTCTCTGGGATAACTTTCTCGGAGATGAAATGCCGGTTTGGTAGTGAGGATCCAAATGCTGACCGCCAACAAGTCTCGCACGCCACAGCCGCTCTATCACGTGACGCATACTGCTCCAACGCGCTAAGGTTATGAGCTGAGTTACGCCATGTTGCAAGTTTTGTGAAGTGCTTTTGTGATATTTAATGGATCAGATTACATTTTTTATTTCTCTCCAATATCCGATCAAGTAATTTATGTCAGTATCAGACTGATACCGTAATATCGGATCGGTCCATCCCTAAACTCAACTTCAGCCACACCAGATAACATGCCCTCAGCACCATCCAAATCAATAGCACCAGTCAGCACAAGCCCATTGGCACTCAGTACAACCTCACTACAAGTCAACATGACTTGAACAGCAGTTAACCCAGTTACACCAATTAAGGTGACCATAGTACCATTAGTACCAATGGCACCATTCAGCATGACCTTACCAGTAGTCTCTACAACCTCACCACAAGTCAACACACCTTTAACACCACTTTACATGACCTCACCAAATCACCTCACTATAATGCTCACCAACAGCACCAGTCAGCATGCTCTCACCCCACTCAGCACAACTTCACTACAGGTAAACATGATTTCAACACCACTTATCCCAAACTTATTTGTAGTCAGCATAAACTCATCAACACTCAGTCTAACCACACAAGTAAAGAGGAGCCTCACCTTTAACCTCTATCGCCAGGAAAATCAGTGTCTGTTAAATCAATCCATGACTATGAGGAAACGTGTTTTTCTTTAATAAAATACAGAATGTACCAGTTTATAATAAAAGTGAATGTCCTATCTGTGGCATATTCATGAAATTCTTTAATTCTCCATTTGTAAAATTAATATATTGTAGCTGACATTTGTTCCAACTATATCTATCGCCTCAGCTACTGCCAATGCCACGAATGCTACCTCAAATGCAGCGACAACTTTGGGCTC